CTCCCTGACAAACCCAGACTGCTTATGAAGGAAGGTCTTCTTTTGTCTGATGGAAATTTCTGGTGACAACTTAGGTGTTAATTCGTCATTTTTGTCCCTGAAGTGTCCTAGGAGTGCTTCCAAGGGCCAGCACCCACCAGATGCTGCTTATACCGTTGTCTGTATAATGTGTGAGATACAGAATTAGCCTTCTGTGGGCAGCATTTTTGTTTAATTTCCAATGGAAACAACCAAGGATATATACTGTCTTGGGCATACCACGTTCGTGAGTTTGGGGATGGTGAAAAGAAGGGAGAAGCATGTCCATCTCTGGTTAGAGTTAAAGATTAGCATAAGCTGCCAGCCTCAAAGATCAGTTTTCCTTCTTGATAAAAATACAACTCAGGTCTTTGATGCCTGATACCTGATCCCTTCGACGCCTTGTGATCTCACAGGCTGGTGTGCTTCTTTCATGTGGGCTTTGTTGTTTCTCAGTTAGATGGCCCCTTGTTTATCTTCCAGCCTATAGGACCCAAGATTCTATATATTTTGACAGCTGGGCACCGTCAGCTTTCTTCACCGCATTTGCCTATGCACCCGCTTTGTCTTCAGCATTCATGCCAGAGTAGGCTGGTGTGCTTCTTCCATGTGGGCTTTGTTGTTTCTTTAAAAAAAAAAAAATCATAGCATTGTGAATGAGGGCCCATCCATGGGAAATTGGACATCCCCTTGCAGAAGGGCTGCGGGGAGGAGACGAACCAGTCAGGGTGCAGTGTAGCAACGATGAAATATAAAACTTTCCTCTAGATCTTGAATGCTTCCTCCTCCCCCTCCCCACTGTCATGATCCCAATTCTACCTTACATATCCGGCTGGACCGGAGGATGTACACTGGCACAGATAGGAGTGGAAATATAGGGAATCCAGGACAGATGAACCCCTCAGGACCAGTGGTGGGAGTAGCAATATCGGGAGGGTGGGGGGATGGTGAGGGAGAAAGAGGGAACAGGATTAAAGGTCTACATGTAACCTCCTCCCTGGGGGACAGACAGTGGAGAAGTGGATGGGGGAGATGTAGGATGGTGTAAGACATGACAAAATAATGGTAATTTATAAATTATCAAGGAGGAAGGGGGAAGGGGGGAGCAAGGAGGGAGGGGAAAAATGAGGAGCTGATACCAGGGGCTCAAGTGGAAAGCAGGTGTTTTGAGAATGATGATGGTAACTTATCTACGAATGTGCTGGACACAATTGATGTATGTATGGATTGTGATAAGAGTTGTATGAGCCCCTAATAAAATGATTAAAAAAAATTCAACTCAGCATAAACTCAATAAAATATAAGTGAAGTTAACGTCATGGAGGTGGGAAGAACATTTAGTACTAATAGTATTCCCAACTGCCTTGAAGAGATGGTTGATTGTGTCCATGGGTGGGAAGTCCTGTTGATATAATAGGCTTAAAAAAATTTTTTTTAAGAGGTAACTATTTGGAAAATGAGTTCTTTCCTACCTTCTAATGGCTTAGACATTGGAAATTAATCATGATAACTGTCTTAGAGAATTAAGCAAAAAATCACAGATCATCTTCCTAAACTATGGTTTGCAAATCCAACAGTTAGCATGTGGTTTTAGGGTTTATTGCCTCATAAGCTAAGACAAATGGAGCACTGGTGGTGCACTGGGTATGCATTGGAGGCTAACCACCCACTGCTCCATGGCAGAAAATGGGGCTTTCCATTCCTGTAACGAATTACAGCCTCGGGAACTCACAGGGGCATCTCTACCCTGTCCTATAAGGTCACCGTGAGTCCGCAGCACCTCGATGGCAGTGTATTTGGTTCTATTGGAAGCCCCATTAATGAAGCCCTGGTGATGTGGTGGCTGATACACTGGGCTGCTAACCGTAAGGCCAGCAGTTTGAGACCTCCAGGTGCTCCTTGGGAGAAAGAGGAGATTTTCTACTCAGAGATTACAGAGTTGGAACCGCACAGGAACAGTTCCACCCTGTCCTACAGGGTAGGAACCGACTTTTTTTATAAACTAGAAGCCAACATTGCTGTTACTGTTTGCTGTAGTAGAAATGCTTGCTGACGCTGCTGCTCAGTGTGGAAGCTCAGCTGCCACTGGACAGGACAATGGTTTAAATCCACCAACTGTTCTGTGGGGAAAAGCCAAGGTTGGGTGATGCCCTACAGATTGACTGTCTGAGAAACCCTGTACAAAGTTGCCAGGACTTGAAAGCCACGAGATAGCACTGTGTTTTTGTTTGTTTCTAAAGTGACTGTTGAAGGATCCCTGGTTGTACAGTGTTTAAAGCATTGGCTTTTAAAGTTTAAATTAATTTGAGGTTAAGTTTGGAAAGCCACCTATATAGCTAGTGACCGCTTTGCAGATCAGAACAAATAGTTTTTTCCATCCCTGCTTGTTTTGACACACAAAGAGGTTTTGTGAGTGTTGCTTGTGGGAGTTTAATTCTGATATTTTGTGAGAATGTCGTTTGTGGGAGTTAATTTCTGATATTCTGTAGCTGAGCAGCAGTCTTCTGCCTCTTCAGTTATGGCCAGTGAAAACATAGTTTTGTTCATTGGTATGTAATTCTGCTTGGTTTAAGGAAATTAGAAACATTTGACTGTGTCTCTCCCACAGTGCAGGTTTGTCCTTGGATATTAATTGGTTTATCCAAAGACTGGACCTTGAATACCTTTTGTGTGTTTTTCTGTGGTTCCTCCAGGGTTACTGCGTCCTTCACTAGGGACTCTCTGGGACTATAAAGCCACCACCCCCCAAATAATTTTAACAAATCTATTTTCCACAGTTGAATATTAATTAATAACAAAATAAGGGTGACTTCCATAAAACCTAGTAACTGCATTCCTGTGGCAGTGATTCTCAATCCTGAGTGCATATTAAAATCAACTGGAGATCCTTTAACATCCTTTACCATCAGCCCGGAGTCTCTGGTGGATTCATTGCTGTTAGTGAAACGTCCTAAGGAGCCGTGGTGGTGGCCCACTTGTTAAAGGCTCGATTGCTTACCTAAAGGTCAGCAGTTCAAAACCACCAGCCATGCTGACAGAAGGACACAGCAGTTTACTTCCTTAAAGGTTATAGCCTTGCACCCAGAAATCCCGAAAATAGACGTCAGACTTGCAGGGCAGGTCTTGGCACCTCAGCAGACTTGATCGGAAAATGTTCATAGGGGTCAGCCGACAGACCTGGAACTATTTATAGGCCACCTTTTTCTCTTCTTTTTTTTTCATGCCTCTGCCTATAAGGCAAGATAAACAGTCACAAGGAGTAAACTGTGGACCGATGGTTCCAGGGAGGACAGAGGAGAGGGGGAGGTTCGGGAAAGAAAGGGGGGAGCCAACATACCCAGGGTGAAGGGAGCAATAAGAGCTCTAAAATCAATGGCGAAGAGGGTGTCGAATGCACGGTGGGGATGGATCAAGTGCACTGTAGCCGAGAGGAATTTGAAAACCCTGAATGAAGGTCAAACATGATAGTGGGGCAGGAGGAAAGTAAAAGGAAATAGAGGAAAGAACAAGGAGACTAAAGACATTTATAGAGGCATAAGTACAGGCACGTATATATGTAAATATATTAATATATAACGATAGGGATATACGTTTATGCATATTTACTGTATATACTTGTGTATACACTGAGATTTTTATCATATTTTTAATTAAGTTTTTGTGGTAAAATTATGTACCTCGGCTGATATTCAGGTCAGCTTATACTAGGGTATAGAAGGTATGTGTTAAGTTTCAAGGTAGCAGATAGACATTGGGCCTCTACTCAAGTTCTCCCTCAATGCCAGAACACTTTGTTCTAATAACCTGGCATTCTAATTCTGTGATGCACACCTTCCTGACATGATCGCTCACGTCAAAATGGGAGTATAAGCAAATGTGAAGAAAGCTGATGGAGGCCAGCTATTACAAGATATAGTAGCATCTAGTGTCTTAATGGCTTGAAGTTAAACAAGCGCCCATCTAGCATGGAAGCAACAAAACCCACACAGAAGCACACAAGCCTGTGTGATCATGAGGTGTCGATGGGATCAGGTATCAAGCATCAGAAGACCCTAAACAAACAATCCTATTGATGCAAATGAGGGATGTTGGAGTGGAGACCCAAAGCCATTCTGTAGATAATTGGACATCCCTTCACAGAAGGGCCACAAGGAAGGGCCACAAGTCAGCCAGGGTGCAGTATAGCACCAAGGAAACACAGAACATTCTTCAGGTTCTTTAATGCTTCCTCCCCCCACTATCATGACCCCAGTTCTACCTTACAGATCCGGCTAGACCGATGCATGTACACGGGTACAGATAAGAGCTCTCGACATACGGAATCCAGGACAGATAAACTCCTCAGGAACAGTCATGGGAGTAGAGATACAATGAGCGTAGGGGGAAGGTGGGGGGAGAAGGAGGAGAAAGGGGGAACCAATCACAGTGATGAAGTTTAACACACAGCCCCCCTTCTAGGGGGATGAAGCCCAGATACTTGGGTGAAGGGAGACAGCAGATGGTGTAAGATAAGGAAACAATAATTTATAATTTATCAAGGGTTCACGAGGGCGGGGGAGGGAGGGAAAAAAGGGGAGCTGGATACCAAGGCTCAAGTAGAAAGAAAATGTTTTGAGAATGATGGCAACATATGTACAAATGTGTTTGATACAACTGGTATGGATTGTTGTAGGAACCCCCAATAAAATGATTTATAAAAACAAAACAAAAAGTAAAGAGATCTTTTGCAGAAAAGCAAAAAAGATTATACCGTCTTGGAAACCCTGCGGGGGCAGTCCTGCTCCATACTACAAGGTTGCTGTGAGTGAGCATCAACAGAACAGCAAGAGGCCTGGGGAAGCCTGGGGCCTCAGCTTTCGTGTCTTTAAATTGCCGATTCCACGATACACCCAGTACTGAAATGGCTGTCATATGGGACAATGGGTGGACCTGGACCATTCTGGATGGGAGACTAATTCATAATCTGCTTTTCCTCTTTCTAGTTGGAGCCCAGATCTCGTCTTGACTCAATCATCACCAGGGGAATGGGCCCTATTGTGGTCACGCATCCAGATTTTGTAATCCAAGGAATGCCCTAAAGGTCAGTGGATGGCGAGATCAGGTCATGGAATTTTGTTCTTAATGTGCACTACCGTTCAATTTATTCATAATTTACTAATGTAAGATACTTGTGAGTATAGATGGCTCTTTGAATTGACTTGATTTATATTGCTACTATTATGTCTTTCATATGTTCCTATAGTATCATTTCTTGAAAATACAAACTCTGTATCTTTACAGGGGCGTATTTTCCATACACTATTTAAAGGAGTATACATGTCATATGTGTGCCTATATGCTTCTCCGTGCATATCTTACTTTTGCAAAGATATTCTAGAAATGTGCGTGATTCTATGGAGGAAACCTAGGGTGGTGTAGATATTTACTTCTAGTCTATATTCTTTTCATGTCCTTTTTAAAAAACCTCATCCATATATTAAATTTCAACATTTTTAAAAAAGTTTCTAATATTTTAATACAGTTTTATAAATATGCTTATAATTTTTATGTTTGGAAATTTTTTCCATCTTCACAGTTGTTGACATTGAGAGTCTATGGATTGTATGGTACAGTTCATGTTATTTAGGGTCATGTATCTGCCTCCTTTGTCCCCGGAAGCCCAAGTGCTAGGTTTTCATGGTGTAGCTCATTGGGCTGTGATCCGCAAGCTTGGTAGTTTGAAACCACCAGCCGTTTGGTGGGTGAAAGACCTGGCTTTCTACTCCAGTAAGCAGTTATAATCTCAGAAACTCACAGGGGGAGTTATGCCCTGTCCTATGGGGTCTCTGAGCCAGCTTTATCTTGTGGCAATGAGTTTGGTTTGGGGTTTACTTCTACTCTTGTTTTTTTTTTTAAATCTTACCATGGCCACACTGGTCTCCTTTTTAATCTTTTCACTCATTCCTATCCTTTTACGTCCTACTTCATCAGTGGCACTACCACAGCCCCAGTTATCCAACTGGAAGTTTTGCCTCAGTCCACTGTACTTCCTTTTCACTCATCCTCAGAGAGAATCCATTTCTGTATGGTTAATCCTCAGTTACTAGCATTCCTTGTCTTTCCCCATGGCACTACTCCAGGCCTCACTACTCCAGGCCTTTCCCCAACCGGTACGGTCTTCACCACAGAAAAGGAGCCTGGTAGTGCATTGGGTTGAGCATTAGGGCTGCTAACTTCAAGCTCAGCAGTCCTGTTGCCAAAGAAATTTGAGGTTGCCTGTTTCCAAAAATGCCCCCTCCCCCCAACTTGTGAATTAGGTGAAGGTTTACAGTTTCATATCCAATTGCTCATCAAGCCTCCTCCTACACTGTTTCCATCGTTTTATTCCCCATCTCTTGTTGGATTCTCTCTTTCCTTTTCTTCAAGTTAACATCTGCCTAGGCTCTAGCCTGTGACTCTCTTCTCTCTCCCTGTCGCTCCTGCAGTAAGTGATAATGGAGAGTTGGCTTCCCTACGGTCACAAGGCAGGGGTCAGACAAGCCTCCACGGTCCATCCTTCATTATCTATTCCTACACCAACGGTTCCTCCCCCAGCACTCTGCGTCTATGCCGGGTTTGATGGTTCATTGCATTGGGCACACAAACCACAATTAAGGAGGTTTCTTGGGGAAGTCAATAGGTTATCACAAGTCAGGACCAGCCAGAAGTAAGGATACAGCCCTTGGTCTCTGCAGCCAGCAGCCACGTCTCTCTGGGCCTCAGTCCCACAGCCACATGGTCCCTTGGCCTTTGCCTCCGTGGATCAGGAAGTTAGACTGTCAGTCACTGTTGTATAGCATAGTCTTGGGGGTACATCTAGTCTTGAGGCTTCTCCTCTGAGCTTTTGTGCCACAGTCTGGGATGCATCAGACAGAGATATTGGACATACTCTTCAAAAATGGCCCAGGACTTATTCTCTCTTCTCTGCTTCAAAAAAGCCTCATCCTTATAGCCAGGAGTGATAGTAACAACAACTGACCAGTCAGTCCCCTCTGTTCGTGTTACTCATGCCTTATCTGCACAGTCCCACTTAGCCATTTCGTGGGAGTTGGAAACTGGGGTTGTGGTGTAGAAGGGGTGCCTTCTACTCATCTGTGGTAGTGGTAGTGTTAGATGCTATTGAACCCCTTCTGACCCATATTGACCCTGTGCACAACAGAATGAAACATGCTACACCCTGCACCATCCCCACAATTGTTCCTGTGCTTGAGCCCATTATTGCAGCCCCTGTGTCCATCCATCTCCTTTAGGGCCTTCCTCTCCTTTGCTGCCCCTCCATGCGATGTCCTTCTCCAAAGTCTAGTCTTTCCATAACATGCCTACAGTATGTAAGATGTAGTCTCACCATGCTTGTCTTTAAGGAGCACTCTGGCCTTACCTCTTCCAAGACAGATCTGCTTGTCCTTTTAGCAGTCCATGATACTCGTAATATCCTTCTCCAGCACCACAATACAAATGAACCCATTCTTCAGTCTTCTTTATTCAGTGTCCACCTTCACATGCATATGGGGCAATGCAGAATACCATGGCTTGGTCAGGCACGTCTTAGCCCGCAAAATAATGTCCTTGCTTTTTGATAGTCTAAAGAGGTCTGGTGCAGCAGATTGACCTAATGCAACATGCCTTTTGATCTTTTGGCAGTTGTTTCCATGAGGATTGTGAAACAAGACAGAATCTTTGACAACTTCAACTCCCCCCACCCCTACTTATTAATGATTTTACCTATTAGTCCATTGCGAGAACTTTGGTCATTACACTGAATTGCAATCCATCCGGCAGGCTGCAGTCCTTGATCATCATCAGCAAGTGGTTCAAGCCCTCCTCACTTTAAGCAAGCCAGGTTGTCTCGTCTGCGTATCACCGGTTGGTAAGGAGTCAGAGCCTTAATAAGCCATTAGATGTGGGTAAAAGAGCCATATGAGGAATTTTCTCTTCTCCACACTTCCCATCAAAGTCTGTTTCTTTTAGCGTGAAAAATTTTGAATTTTAAAAGAAGTATTACAGTGCTCTCCTACATCATTTGCCCTTTTGTGATTGACTACTAATTTTACTCAGTGTAATGCCCTTCAGGTTCATGTATGCCATTAGGTGTTTCACAAATTCAAAGTTATTCTTTACTGTTGTTTAGTATTCTTTGTGGCAATGAGTTTGATTTTTTTCTCATGTTTTGAGTATTCCATTGTATGTGTCTACAGTGGTTCAAATAAGCATTGCAGTGGTTACACAGAACTCACATGTAATCATGACAAAAATCATGATTAAAGAGTTTATGGAGGAAGTTAACAGGTTGTAATGCAGGTGAGAAATGCTCAAGATATAGTTATTCATCAGGACATGTTCCAAAGTTTTTTTCAGGCCTGCTAATAGATTCCTAAAGGGCATACATGCATGCCTCAACTTCAGAGTCTGTCAGCTCAAGCTCTGTGGGTGAGCAAACCCAGTTTCCTGAATTCAGTGCCCAGAGATACCCTACCCTCCTCCAAAAGCCAGCCCCTCCCCAAAGCACTCAGCTGGGCATGCTTCATGAGCTGGAAGTTGTCCACCACTCTGTTTCAAGTTCTGGCTTCTGGTTCGGCTGCTCCTCCGATGTCATGGCTGTCTTCTGGATACAGGAGGCTCATTGCACAGGGATCTCAGGTCCAGAGACGCCTTGCTCTTACTGGTAATGAAATCCCCTCCCTCCTCTGCTTTCTCAGAGGACTAATTCAAATCCAGCAGGATGACATTCCATTGAATCCGGTTCATAATTACTCACAGGTGAATCTTACCAGTCTCTTCCCCACCTTTTTACCCAGACCCTTGTAGGGAAAGATCCTTTGGTGGGAGTTAGAGACTGGCTAGAAGAGCCACACTAAATAATTCGCTCCCCTCTAGTTTGCTTCCATCTACTGTGACGTGCTGCGATGAACATGGTTGTCCGTATGACTCTTCTTCTTTTAAAGAATTACATGAAGTAGCAGAATTTCTGGGTGATAAGGTATTTCTATTTCCAACTATTGGAGTAATGACATAGTCCTTTCCACAGTGATTGTATTGTTTTCTAGTACAACTAACAGCATATGAGGGTGCCGATTTCTCTGTACTCTCTCCAACATTTTGTTTTTAAGTTAACTATCAATGTTGAGGTGAGGTGGTATTTCATCGTTGTTTGGGTTTGCATCTCTCACATGGCTGACAATGGCATGCACTTCTCAAGTTTAAATTTGCTGGGTGCTTGAATGATTTCTTTGATGAAATGTGTGTTCATTTCCTTTAAAAATTTTAGTTTTAAGTTAAAAAAAATTTTTAATTTACCTTTTCCTTGTCGAGTTGTTGGCGTTTGCTGTAGATACTGGAGATTGGGCTCTTGTCTTTCCCCCCAGTCTGCAGGTGCTCTTTCTTAAGCTTTTGATGTGCAGTCTGTTAGTTCCAAGTCCTCTGTTCTGTCTTGTTTGTGTTTTTCATTGTGTTCGACAGTGTGTTTATATCATGTGTTAGGGTCCCTGGGCTTATCTCTATTTTTTCATTGATATTTATAATTCTTGGTTTTACATTGATGTCTTTGGTCCATCTTGATTCTGTCTTTCTCTGAGATGTGGGTCCTATTTCTTTCTTCTGCAAACAGATATCCAGTTGTGTCAACAGCATTTGTTATAGAGACGGTTTCTTTCCCATTTTGTGTGTTTTGGCTCCTTGTGGAAGATCAGCTGTCTGTAAGCGAATGGGTTTGCTTTGTGTTCTCAATTGTGTTCCATTTGTGAACAAAGTACAGTACCGGGTTATTTTTACTACTGTGGCAATGTAATAGGGTTTGAGATCAGGACGTGAGCGAGTGGCCTTCCATTTTTTCTTTCATAGTACTTTGCTGACCCAGGGTCTCTTTCCGTTTCCACCTGTTTAAAGAATAATGCTAGAATCAGGTTTGGGATTGCATTTTGTTTATAGATCACTTTGGGGTAGTATTGACATCTTGACAATAATATGTCTTCATATCCATAAGTCTAGTATATTCTTCCAATTCTGTAAGTACCTTTTGGTTTCTTGTACTAGCTTTCTGTGGATTTCTTCGCAGAGTTTTTTATT